ACTGATGCGTCCTCTTAATTCATTAAATTTAACCAGATTAAACAAGTGAGTGTGATATGTGTTTGTATATAAATAGACAACTTAATTAAGACTACATATGTATATATGCATATACACATACATATATATGTATACGAGGTGTCAGAAAAGTTCCATGACTGATGTCACAAAAATTTATTTCCAACCAAAACTTCACACTAAGAGTTTCCCCCTTTAAAGTAATCCCCCTGGAATCTAATGCACTATTTTATCCTTCTCTGCAACACTTGCATGCACTCTTGGAAGGATTCTTCTGGGATAATCCGCAGTAGGGTGGTTGCTCCAGCACGGCGATGCTGTTCTCGACCAGGAACCGTCGGTTGCTCAGGGCACTGTGAGCAGGCGCGTTGTCATGGTGAAGCAGCCACGAGTTGTCCTGCCACAACTCTCGCCTCTTCTGACGCACTGAACGAAGCAAACGCTGTAGTATCTCTTTGTAGACATGTCGACTGATCGTCTGGCCCTGTGGCAAGAAGTCGCAGAGGACGATCCCCCTGTGCCATCAGTCGGGAGCTTTTCTGACACACCTCGTATATTATATATATATATATATATATATATATATATATATATATATATATATATATATATATATATATGCATAGATATATAGCTATTATATGCATGTATATATGCATGTATGTGTGAGTATATATAGATGTATGTCTGTGTATGTCTATAGACATACATATAAATATACATGTATGTATGCATGTAGACGTACATATATATGTATATATTTGTATACACACATATGTGTATATAAGTATGTATGTATGTATATATGCATATATAAGCAAAATCAATAAAGAGATTTGTAGTGCAGCTATTCAAGCACATTCAGTTTATTTCCTAATGAAGTCCCTCTCAAATAAAATGTTTATCACTCTCTTACTCTCTTTTCATACATAGACATATTGATATATGTATGTGTATATAACTGAACCTTTTTAAGGTAATACTGATAGCTATATATGCGGAATACCCAAAAAATGCACAGCACATCGTGACGTTTTTAGGTATGTCATGTATCTTCCTTGAAGGACCGGTTTTAGTGAAAAAAAATATATCCTACATTAGGAAATGTTTCATATTTTGTGTCAGAGCAACTGGAATTTCTTTGTCTACGAGATTTTTGACTGAATAGGTTGTTGCTTGAGTCAAAAAATCTGTTTCAAAGTTCATTTTATTATAGAAAAGTCTTTTAAATATTGACAATGTTCGTTGTACTTTTCGTACACTTAGTATGATAGGTGGGACAATTGGGGCATGATATGCAGGTCAGGGGCGTGATATGTTGGCTCAGGGCGTGGTAAGCCTTGGCAGGGGCGGCTGCGTGGGCGTCGTAGTGGGCCGTCCCCTCGTAGGAGACGGTGGGGTGGTAGCCAGTCTCGTCGGCGTAGTAAGTGACGGTCTGGACGCGGCCGTCGGGGAGGTGCACGAAGTACTTGCCCTCCGTCTTGTAGCCGTCGCGAGCCTCCGAGTGGCCGAAGTGGGTGCCGGCGTAGTCGTCGTGGACGGCGTGCTCGAAGGCGTAGTGTGGAGGCGTCTGAAGAGAGTGGAAACCACCACGGTTTTATCAGGACGCAGTTTTAGTCTTATTGGCCAAATTCACCAAAACTACATTATCAACACCAACAGTAGGAAGACTTACATCAGGATAAACAGGAGCATATCCCTTTCCATGGTGTACAGGGCATGGTGTACAGGGGCAGCATGGTGCACTGGGGTAGCATGGTGTACAGGGGCTACATGATGTAGCGGAGCAGCATGGTGACCTAGTGGGTGGTGCAGAGAACTCTTGACGTGGTGACTGATATCTCCTGAAACGAGGGCGACCACGCCTGCCACCAGCACCAAGCCTACCTGTTGGCGAATAGAATAGCGTTAATAAAGGAACTCAACATCTTTCCCACTTCAAATACCACAGGAAGCACCAGCACAAAGTCAGTACCTTTCGCATCATGTTGAGGTTGAGAATGTTGTGACTTAGTGGGAAGTGCCGCCCTTTATTATAGCTGCCGCGCCGCTTGCGTTGACCGCTGAAGGTCACTTCTGTTGTGTCCGCCTAAAGAAAGTTTTGAACTTATACAATGCCATTAAATATTAACGTTTTTCCAAGTACAACTTCATCTTGCAGGAAAAAGAACTTTCAAATTTTGCTATATATATAGATGTTCATCAATGCAGTTTGGAAACCCGGACTGAAGAGCAGGGAATCAGGTGGCAGTCCACTGAACATCCTCTTTCCGTTGGAATTTGTTCCCGTGGCAAGGTCGGTCGCTTCGCCGATGCAGATCTCCATAAGCATCACCGTGCAGCCCAGATAAGAGAAGTCTTATCAGCTGTCGCAGGGATTAGAAAGAAGGGAATATGAAAGGTAGACGAAAGTTATTAAAGTTCCATGTATGATGAGAACATTTTTAGGACATCAGAGATATCCCTTAAATGATAGTCTATAATAGTCTATAAGGTAGTAAATTACTATAGCAAGACTACGCATAGGGTTGTGTTTTGTGCAATAACAAAATCATTACATTAAATTATAGAACACGGCAAAACCCTTTGTGTTCCGTATTACAAACCCTGTTTATAAAAGTTAATGAATGGAAATATTTCTATCCAAAAGCAATCTTTTGAATATTGCAACTTTTCCATAAGTCAAATTATATTTTCCTGTTTTCTCTCTCTCCGTTTTTTACATATGTAATGATAAGAAAGTTATTCAGATACTCTGAACACTGGGGTGCAGTCTTTCAGATATGTCTGACTGATGGTCCTCTTAATTCATTATATTCAATCAGATTACACTGTGTTATATGTGTGTTTGTAGGTACATGGACAACTTTTTTAAGACTACATATGTATATGCGTACACACACACACACACACACACACACACACACACACACACACACACACACACACACACACACACACACATATATATATATATATATATATATATATATATATATATATATATATATTACGAGATGTGTCAGAAAAGTTCAACGACAGATGTCACAAAAGATTTATTTCAAATCCCCTTGAATCGTAATGTACTTTATCCGTCTCAGCGACGCTTGCATACACTCTTGGAAGGATTCTTCCGGGATCCTCCGCAGTAGGAGGTTGCTCCAGCACGGCGATGCTGTTCTCGACCAGGAACCGTCGGTTGCTCAGGGCACTGTGAGCAGGCGCGTTGTCATGGTGAAGCAGCCACGAGTTGTCCTGCCACAACTCTCGCCTCTTCACGCACTGAACGAAGCAAATGCTGCAGTATCTGTTTGTAGACATGTCGACTGATCGTCTGGCCCTGTGGCAAGAAGTCGCAGAGGACGATCCCCCTGTGCATAAGTCAGGGAGCTTTTCTGACACAATATATATATATATATATATATATATATATATATATATATATATATATATATATATATATATATATATTATATTATGCATACATATATAGCTATTATATGCATGTATAAATGCATGTGTGTGTGAATATATGTATATATGTCTGTGTGTATGTCTATAGACATACATATATATATATGTATGTATGCATGTAGACGTACATATATATGTATAGACACACATATGTGTATATAAGTATGTATGTATGTATATATGCATATATAAGCAAAATCAATAAAGAGATTTGTAGTGCAACTCTTCAAGCACATTCAGTTTATTTCCAATGAAGTCCCTCTCAAATAAAATGTTTATCACTCTCTTACTCTCTTTACATACATAGACATATTGATATATGTATGTGTATATAACTGAACCTTTTTAACGTAATACTGATACCTATATGCGGAATAACCCCACAAAATGGTATAAATCATGTATCTTCCTTGAAGGATCGGTTTTAGTGGAAAAAAAATATATCCTACATTAGGAAATGTTTCATATTTTGTGTCAGAGCAACTGGAATTTCTTTGTCTACAAGATTTTTGACTGAATAGGAGTTGCTTGAGTCAAAAAATCTGTTTCAAAGTTTCATTTTATATAGAAAAGTCTTTTAAATATTGACAATGTTCGTTGTACTTTTCGTACACAAGGAATATTTCTTAGGCATGATAGGTGGGAACAACTGGGGCATGATATGCAGGCTCAGGGGCGTGATCTGGTTCAGGGTGATATGTTGGCTCGGGCGTGGTAAGCCTTGGCAGGGGCGTGGTGAGGGGCGGCTGCGTGGGCGTCGTAGTGGGCCGTCCCCTCGTAGGAGACGGTGGGGTGGTAGCCAGTCTCGTCGGCGTAGTAAGTGACGGTCTGGACGCGGCCGTCGGGGAGGTGCACGAAGTACTTGCCCTCCGTCTTGTAGCCGTCGCGAGCCTCCGAGTGGCCGAAGTGGGTGCCGGCGTAGTCGTCGTGGACGGCGTGCTCGAAGGCGTAGTGTGGAGGCGTCTGAAGAGAGTGGAGAATCACCAAGGTTTTATCAGGACGCAGTTTTAGTCTTATATGGAGGCGTCATTGTCCTATATAAAAATCTTCCCAAATTCAAGAAATGTAAAATTGAGATCCAAAACTACGATTATCAATACACTAACAGTAGGAAGACTTACATCAGGATAAACAGGAGCATATCCCTTTCCATGGTGTACAGGGGCAGCATGGTGCACAGGGGCAGCATGGTGCACTGGGGTAGCATGGTGTACAGGGGCTACATGATGTAGCGGAGCAGCATGGTGACCTAGTGGGTGGTGCAGAGAACTCTTGACGTGGTGACTGATATCTCCTGAAACGAGGGCGACCACGCCTGCCACCAGCACCAAGCCTACCTGTTGGCGAATAGAATAGCGTTAATAAAGGAACTTAAAAATCTTTCCCACTTCTTAAAACCTTCAAATGTCACAGGAAGCACCAGCACAAAGTCAGTACCTTTCGCATCATGTTGAGGTTGAGAATGTTGTGACTTAGTGGGAAGTGCCGCCCTTTTTATATAGCTGCCGCGCCGCTTGCGTTGACCGCTGAAGGTCACTTCTGTTGTGTCCGCCTAAAGAAAGTTTTTGAACTTACATACAATGCCATTAAATATTAACGTTTTCCAAGTACAACTTCATCTTGCAGGAAAAAGAACTTTCAAACTAAGTTTGCTATATATAGATGTTCATCAAATGCAGTTTGGAAACCCGGACTGAAGAGCAGGGAATCAGGTGGCAGTCCACTGAAATCCCCTTTCCGTTGGAA